CCCAGCTTACACCTGACCAGACACACACCTGCTTAGCCCTGCCAAGTTAGAAGCTGTTCCCCATTGAAATACTAGCCAATCACTGAACTTATCAAACTGAATCATTTTCCTTCTAAAGCAAAATGTAGATGAGTGGGTCTGTATCTTTAGTATTTATGTATGAAGATCACTTCTCAATTCAAGTGAACACTTTGCTCTACTTCTACTTTTTCTTCAATTTACACCATGAGCACGTAACGTAAAAATGGTTAAAGTCAGCTTGCAGGGATAGATAACCAGGCTAATGTTTAATCAAACAAGCTCTGATATAACAAAACCTTTGTGTGCCTTCGGAAGAGTCCACCATACAGTTTGAATCCTTTGAAAGAGCTTAGGAATCAGAGCAGAAACTTTTATTTGTATGCAGAACCAATCTGTTCCGTTTTGCAGTATTTCACTTGGCCCAAATTAAACAAGGGGCTTTGAACATTGACCGAGATGTTCAAATTCCTCAAAGACAAAGTCAACCCAGTGGACGTATTCAGTGTCAACAGTGAAACATGAAAGAGAGGAAAAAAGTAGAAACTTCTGTATGTGTAAGTGAATTTAAAACAAAATAGGAGACACTTCTTTACAAAAAGGGCTGTGGGAGTGTAGAATACGTTGCTCAGCCATGATGTTGAAACCGATAACTTGCTTCCTTTAAAAATATAACTGACAAAGATCCTCAGATCAAATAACTACTAACTACCAAACAGGCTAGGCTGGATGAATGGTCTCCTCTCCTTTTGAGACCTGTCTTAAGTTCTCACTTTACATTGTGTAAGCCGAGACTGTGAATATTCTTTTATCCCATTTAAATTTTAATCACGGGTTAAGAGACTTAAGACCCCTGAATTGTCTTTGTCCTGGTCATAATGACGCAAGAGTCTCTCAGCTGAAAAGTGTTTATTCTGGAAAAGTGAAATGTTATTCTCTAATTACAGAGAGGGCATTTCCATGACCATTAACTGCATCCTTTTATACTCTACTATTAGATGTAGTTGTGATTTTATTAGAAACAAAGTCTCTAGCACATGATCTAAAAGCAAAGTGATGGACTCGTGATAAAAGTTTTATAACAGGGTCCCAGGTTGTCTTTCGGCTTTGTTCCACCAGAGCTATCAGTTACATAGCTGGTCTAATTGCTTGATTAAAACTGTTAATGCTTGTAAGGCAGGCTTGTAGGTTTGAAGGTGCACAATTACATTTTCTGAAGTCATTCTGTAATAGTACAACAAACCCACAATCTAACAAGAGCTCTGTATCTACGTATACTAAAATGTAGTCTGGGATCTGTGTTGTGTGTGTGTTTTGTGGTCTGAGGTCTCTGTCTTGTTTGTGTTGTGTAGTTTGGGTCTGCATCTTGTGTGTGTTGTTCAGATGAGGTAGTAGCTGTGTGTGTTATGTAGTCTGGGTCTGTGTTTTGTGTAATCTGTGTCTATGTGCTGTGTGTGTTGTATAGGTGGCGTACTGTGATCTCTCCATTCGTCAGGACTGGCGTTACCGAGCTCCAATGAATAGACATTCCCTTGCTGAGTTGTTGGCATTCCTGGGGTTCAGAGATGTGGGTGTGTTCAGAGCCTCTCTTGTCAGGGCTTGTAGTGAACTGAGACAACTTCCACAACCAGTCTGGATCTTCTCTGTCAGTCTGAACCTGCCCCAGTCTTGTGTTGCACTCACAGTGCTGCCCTCACAAGAACTGATCCATTGACTGGACTTACTCCATATGTCCAAAAACAGAAAGTATGTTGTAGGGAGGCAAAAGTCAGGATTTGCATGTTTTATGACGACAGCTGGTTTCCTCCAGGTACTATCTACAGTACGTGGAGTTTGTATGCTCTCCCCTTGTTTGGGTGGGTTTCCCGATAATAGGTTTCCAACTAATATTTTTGTCACGTTTATCCACTGCTGGCATGGCACAGGTTAAAACCAGACAACTAGGTACTCCAGTTTTCTCCCACTGCACAAAGATGTGCTTTCAAGCTTGGCTTGACTCCTGTGAAAACTGGTCCTGGTGTGAATCTGTGCGTGTTTGTATCTGAGTGTGCCCTGCAGTGGACTTTTCAGGGAATTCCCTGCCTTGCTCCATTGATCTACAGTGCTTTTCATTTTCTTCCAAACAGAAACTCATTTACACAAAGGAGCTCAGCTGTGCGGTCAGCGTATTTTGACTATGCAGAGAAATATTTGAAAGGATAATGTTAAATGCAAATATTCTGCACCTGTTGTTGCATGGACAATGAAAGTTCTTTCTGACTTTTTATCAGTAAAACTAGCAGGTCAGTGCAGTCTAATAATAAAACTCACCCCTTACAGACCCTGTTTATTCCTGGCCAAGAAACACAGGGTACAAGACAGAACCACATGCAAGAGGAGATTTCCGTCATTTGCATTGGCAGAAAAGAATATAACGATCAGGTGAATGTTTAACAGAGATAGAGGTAAGAGAACTAAGAAAATAAGAACAGTCATTCAGCCTCTCTGTATCATTTGGTCTTTAGTAATTAATCAATCTGAGGCCAACAGAGACTCTTTATTCTTAGGAACTCCAGCTTTTTGAAGGTAGAACAATTTTAGTGCTTTTCTATAGGCCATTTATTGCAAGTGCTTAACATAGTGTCTCACTTTCTGGTTTGACAGCATAATAGATTGAAAGCTGCAAAGGTGGAGAGGGGGTGGAGGAGGGATGCAGAAAACGAATGAGGAAGAGGAGAGGGTGACGTTTGATATATATATAGAGACCAGTTGCTTACGTCAGGATTAGTGAGAATTGCAGCAGCTGTGTCGAATGAGCTTGGCTGCCTTCATTCCTCCTGAAATTTCATTAAAAACTCCATAAAAAATATCTGGATGGAGCATTCCGGTTTTGATTAAAAATATTCACTGTAATAAATGCTGCGTGCATCATTAGTAATATGACCTCATGGGACCTCATTGCAAGGGGGTGCATGCACCTGCAACATTCTGTGTCTGAATGTTTCATGTGGGATTTTCACACTGGTCACAAAGTGGCGGGTTTGTAACATTGACGCTAACGGAAATAACCCCTCGGCCCAGAGCCCCTTGAGAATCTCTCCCCCGTGTGCGGCGACAGCCGGCCAGTCTCGCTTTCGGCAGGTCCGCCTGGGCCTCCCGCCCGCCCCTCGACCTCTTCCTGTCCCCCGCGGTCGCCGCGCTCTCCAGCGAGAACGGGCGTACGAGAAATGAGCGAGGCGACAAAACCACACTCACGAACCCCTTGCCCTACTAACCTCCCACTCCCTCTTGCAGACTGTACATCCCCCCACCCCCGCCGTGGTCTGGGGGTGCAGTTTCCACCCTGAGCGCTGGCCTCAGCCACACAGACACGCAGGTGCCCACACGCGACTTCGAGAAGCGTTCCTGCGCCCGAACGAGAGCAGAGATCTGCTGCCTGACCTCCTTGCACCCTGATGGTCTTCTGCTGCTCTCCTACAGTGACCCAGTTCCCGGCCGCTGTGTTGCTGGCCGGTCAGACTTCTCCTGGAAGCCAGGACTGCCCGGAGAGGTGAGAAATCACCCCAGGGGCAGCAGAAGGCTTTGTGCAGCTTTGTGTAGCAGGGGGGTGCAAAACTCCAGCCCCAGGAAATGATAGTCCAGCGAGATGCGTTAAAATCCCTTGAAAAAGGTACAATCCCGGGCAGAACTGGGAATTCTGAGGAGGAGAACATCCCTCTGCACCAGAGCACCGAGCCAGTCTGCTCACAGGAACCCAGGGTTGCCCCAGATCACAGGGGCCTGTTGACCCAGGGGGTGGCAGAGCAGCCCCCCAGTGAAGGGATCCAGTTGGCTCAGGATGGGGGACCGGCAGAGACCCCAGAAACCCAGCTGCGCCCTGACCCTCAGAGGCCGGTGGCTTCTGCTGGAGCTCACCAGCGCACCCCTGGGGGATGGGGTGTGTGAGCATCTGGTCACATACCGCCCCGAACAGGCGGAACACACCGCTGGTCCAGTCCCTTCGGCCGACTGCCCAGACTTGTGGGCACCTGCTGCCCAGGCCTGCAGTCACTCACAAACAACGGCGGTGCCAGTGTCACCCTTTCACCCAGGACACTTTTGCACAGTTACAGCATGGTTCTGTATCAACACCGGCTTACTGTACTGTATGTGCAGAAGCAGAAGTGATTACACTGATATGATGGGGAACTGGGAGGTTATGCAGTGGCTCCAAAGAGGAACACTGACTTATTCACACAGGAAGTGTAGCTTTATATATTCCAGGCGTTATCTGAAGAGATTACTCTGGGATTATCGGGTTTTCCACAGAGTCATTATGAACTGTTCTCGGATTTTTCTGAGTCTGTATTCCAGATGCCCCCAAATTAATTACAAATTTTCCGCATGACCAAGTGGCAGATGTCGTGTAATTTAATTCATCTCTTACACAACAACCGCTCATTCGCCTCGCTCTCCCTGCACTGTGGAGACACACTGTCTGGCTCTCGCAGTGTCGCCTACTGCGGGTCACGGTGTTGCTGGGTCTGAGGGCTTCTGTACCGAACCGATTCTTTAGTCCCCAGCCCAGAGACGGTCACCGCTCGTCCAGGGGGCTGGACCCCACAGAGCAGCAGCTCAGACAGAGACCAGACCCACAGGGACCACAGTCGCTCGGCCGCTCTGAGCTCGTTCACTCCCGTGAGGCGATTATTGACCCTGCTTGTCTTTAATCACGACATTCCAGATCTGTATCCTCGCTAAAAAGACTCAGTTCCTTTTCTCCCGCTGGGCTAGGGAGCAGTTCAGAGAGGCATTTGGAGCCCCAGCAGGAAACGTGCTTTCTAAAACCATTTTCAACACGTTATGAAATCAAATATATTCCCAAGTATTATCTCTAGCTGTACTCCCAGTAAGAGTCCGATTATTATTATTATTATTATTATTATTATTATTATTATTATTATTATTATTATTAAATCTGTGACAACAGAATTTGAGTTACAATCCATAATTTTAAACACCGCAATATTTCACACAACACTGCGCCTTGGCGGACTAAAAAACGAGTTAATCTAGCAGAACCACTATCAATTACAACAGACTGATCCGGAAAGTGATGTTGCCTCTAAGGCAAGACCAGACCTGCGGTGAATTTTTATTTGATCGCATAAACATATTTCCTTCCTCTCTGAACATCGCTTCTACATGTTTTGTTTTTTTAATTGTATTAATTTATTTTGTCTTGTTTAAAACATCTAGCTCCTTTGAACTTCTGCAATTGTGTTTTTGAGTCAGAAACTTCCCTATGGAAACCCTAAACTGAAAATCACTGTTCTGCGTTTTTTGGAACAGATGTACAGTATTAAACTTCCCAACACGCTCGCCACGCGACGCAGCCAGTTGGAAAGGCGTGTTATAGCTTGTTGGCGCCAGACGAAGCGCGAAACTGTCGAGTCTGAGAGTGAATTAACCTGTAAAGGTTTCAGACCTGTAAGGTTGAACGATGACTTTTTTTATTTAAAAATGCGTTTTCCAGAAAATATGTTGTAAACTGTTACCTCATTATTACTCACGCTATGTGCAAAATTGTTACACAGTTTCTGCAGTGCGTTGTGATTTTGTTTCAAGAGTAAAACCCCAAATAATTCCGTGAAAATGGGGAATCCGACTGATACAGTCTGTCAAAGCTGTATTATAATCGGCAGCGATGTACATAATACATTAACTAATATTATATACCTATACTAAACACAGGAATTTCCGTCTTGTCTGTTATTACCTTGAAGAACAATGTTCCTCCATCATATACTGTAGATACTGAATCATAATTACTGACATAATACTGATCATAAAAACCATCATAATTAACCATCAGTGATTCAGATTGATTTACTTTTAATTTGTCTTGATTGACATTTCTGTCATAACATGAGGATTCTTGTTTTCTTCACCCGTGAAGTTTGCGAGACTCTTTGTGATCATTAGGTTTAGTTGTTTTAGTTTATTTTGTTCTACTGAAAAAGAAAATGTTGTTTTTTGTTCTTGCAAACGGGCGAACACACATAGACTGGACTGAAAACAATGATTTTAAAAATGCAGAATCCTACTTTAATACAGTAAAAATCAATAAAACGAAACAAAATTATAATACCATGAAAGAACCATCGTTTTTCGGAACTTTTGAATTGCAAGATGTTAAACCTGACTGAGCTTTTCTGCGACGAACACACTCAGAGCCGTCCTGTTGGATTTGTCTATGACGAACCCGGGTCAGGAAACCAGCGATCCTGTTCTTTGTAGAGTTTTTGTACAACTCGCCGGTTAAACTAACGTTTTCCATACGCAGATAATAACAAAACGGTTGATCTTAACCTATTCCTGCGTGATGTCGACGGATAGTCCGACAGACCGCCAGGGGTCCGGCAGGGGAGCACAGCAAGGAAATTAAATACCCGAGGAAGACTGTCCGTGTACTCACCAGCAAGAGAGAGCAGAATCAGGAGAGACGGTGTCTGCATCGTCCTGTGCCCGCTGTCCCAGGGTCTCTTCGCAGTGTGACACTGACTGTCGGAGGCAGGACTGATTCAGCCCTCCTCTGGGAGAGAAGAGAACAGGAGACCAGAGACCCCCTTTCAATAGAGGAAGAGGATGGGGCGATAGTGGTGATGCAGAGACAGTTCCACTTTCTTCTGTGTAACAAGCTGTGAATTAGTTATGATGGAGTTTTTTTATTTTTTCACCCTGTGACTTGGTCGTCTTGACCGCCATCCCAGGAGGACATCATTTAAACCTTTACCTTTACCTTAGATTTAAACCTTTACCTTTGCCTACTGCCCTGTCTCTCTCACACCTGAAGAAGGCTCCACGGCCGAAACGCTGTGTTCTCTTTCTTCTTCTTACCAGCAGGGAATAAACCCATTACTTGTTCCTTTAAATGTATACAACTGACCGCTGTAAAACGACTGTAAACAGACTAATGGCGGACTCGCAGGCAGGAGAGAAGATTGGGAGTCTGTGTTTCTCCTCACACCCGCCAAGTACTGTACCTTTCGGGCTTGTCACAACTCGCCGCTGTTCGAGAGAATAACTGAGCTGGACTGCAGTAAAAACGGGCTTCATTCAAGACGGAAAGGTTCGGTTAATAGTCACATTAAGTGGCACTGAGCCTGGTTAAACCCTTTTGACGCTTTCATCGTTGAGATTTGGAATTATTCTGCTCCAGGCTTGTTTCCGGGAGCAATGCAGCGAACAGAACCCCGCCAGTTCTGTGCTCAAGGTCGCTATCTTATTTCTGTCAAAACCAAGTGAAAGTGCATTTAAAACCGAGAGCAGGAGATGCGTCGTTACACAAAAGGCTGTGGATGTCTGGAACAAGCTACTCAGTCTGGAGACGCAGAACAGGGAGATTGTACCTGATTAGCAGAGAGCGATTCGATTGCACATACTCCCGAGAGTAGCTGGTGCAGGACTGTTTTCAAACATTATTTTCACTCCTTAACATTGTTCTAGTGGAGTCAGCATAGCCACTCACTGCTTACTGAGCGTGGGACAAAATGCACATCATGCAAAGAAAAAACCCTACAAATGAATTTCCGTTTATTTGCACATTATTGGAAGGAACCAGCAGTCTGATAATCCACATAACCAAGAGGCAGGACACCTGGCAGAGAGCAGGGTGAAAAAGCTCTCCGCTGAGAAAAAATAGATTTGGGCCCAACCTGTAACGGGAAAACTGAATGGTTTTGGAATATGAACTGCAGTCTGAGGCGCTTGAGACTCCGCCGGCGATCGGTCCCGCAGACACACGCAGGACAGCGCGTCTCCCGGGGCTGTTAGAACACCCTCGGGCAGACTTTCACCGTGGGCGGCCCATTAAGTGTATTTAATTACTTCTTTATTAGTTTTATTTCCATTATATACCTGCTTTATTTAGGGCTCTGGTATTAGCTGAGTTACTGTGCGTTCGCAACCTCAGTTCTTTTACGCCGGTTTTCTTTTTTCTCTGCCTTTTTGCGCTGGTTAATTCTTTCAGCGCTTCATCTCTTCCTCGCCGCTGCCGTTCTGCAGCCCTGGTATAATTTTTGTCGTAAATTGGTATAACACTGACAGCTGGTTTGATAAAAGATCTGCTTAGCTGCTCGCTGATTCAATAGCAAGAACATTCAATATTAATATACAACATACAATAATAATATGAACGTCAGGACCGTAATGAACACCAGGAGAGCTCTCGGCAAGTAAGGGCAACAGAGACCCCTGAAGCCCGCGAGTCTGAGGGGCTCACAGAGAATGTGCAAGCAGTTACATCAGGATGCCCAGGTCTCTTCATTGACAAGGCCCTGGCCAACTCAACCCTGCGGATTTCTTCAGAATCAACAGGGAAATAGGAACCAGAGGTCACAAGCGGAAGCTGCATGGAAGTGCACTTAAAACTGAGCATAGCGGGCACTTCATTACGCAAAGAGTTGTGGGAGTGTGGAACAAGATGATATCCTGGATCACTGAGCTACTAAGTACCATGCATAGACCAGATGACTCAGAGCTGAATGGCCTCTTTTTGTTGTTTTGAACCCTTCTGTTCTGTCTGTTTTCATGTTTCAGATGAAGTTCACAATACTTCTGACACTAGTATTTTTCAGTCGCTGGTCTAATCTGGTATTGTGTGGGAATTTTCACGGGGTGTCCCGTCAGCTGAGCAGAATTGTGCTCGCCATGTGGCACTTTCTGGGAATCCTGTAAGATTTATTCGTTTTACTTTCAGTCCGTTTCCAAGCACGGTCATTCGATTGCGTGTCCAGTAACATATCGACGTGAAAGCGCAAGTGTTTCGTGCTTCAGCTGCCCTTGTGAACCCCGACCAGGAATGGTGGGGAGGGGGCAGAAGCCGCTCTGGGGGACCCCAGAGTGCTGTGCAGTCAGTGCGAGAAGTGGACCCCATCTGGGGTGTCAGGGACACCCTGACCCCCGTTATGTACCCAATGGCTCAGTCTAGTACACATGGGCCAGTGCTTAACGGACGGAAATACACACAACTACGTGTAGGATAACTAACCACACTGTTCTACAGCCCAATTACCCGCTAAACCTGTCTCCCGAGAAAGGAGTGGCAAACCATAGAAGAGTCTTCCGCAAGCTAACTTACTACTCGATACTAAACCAAGCTATAACAGAAAACAAAAACAAAAAAACACGGGTGCCACAACAATCCCAACCCTACGCCCCAGCTAAGAACACAAATCCGACACGTCTCACGTTTTCGCCGTTTCTCCTTCTTACACACTCGCAGGACGTCGCGTACCGGCATTTGAAACCGGACCGCTCTCTTCAACCCATCCAGAGAGACCCCCATCTTAGGGATACGCCCAGTTCCACAATCGGATTCCCGCAGGGGAGGCGAGTTAAACAAGCAGAGCGCAACAGCCCCAGACAGCACTGCCGCTGCCAGGCAGGTCGGTCTCCTGTGCCCGGCGCTCTGGGTGAAAGGTGGGGGACCATGGCTGTGGACGCGCCTCTGGCTCGAAGGGGCACCATGCCAGGTGTTGGGGGACCCCGGCTCAGCATTAACCATGAGGTGCGAGGCTAAAAAAAATATGTTTTAAAAAATATATTGTACCCCGGCGGTTCGTCACAGCCAGGACGAATCAGTCTCTCTTTTACAGGCATTCATTAACAAGCTGAAATTTAATTGCAGACTTTTTAGGTGTGTTTTTTTTTTTTACCGAGTATTGTTTTTTCCTGATCATTAAGACAGCCGAATCATGCTTCTCGTTACCTCAGCCTTTATCTCTGACAGCTAAGTGTCGGAATTTCTAAAACTCTTTTCCCGAGGCGGTTACTTCCCTTCAGGTCCGAGCAAATCGCTCGTCATTTCGATAAAAAACTTGTTTTTTATTTTTCAGGTGATTCCCTTTTGCTAGCTTGTTTGTGCCTGACGTATCGCGTGATGGGGTATTTCGAAGGAGGTTTCTCTGAGAATCTCCTCAGCTGGGCTGAACTGTATTTACCTCACGTCCGCCTGGACGTGTGACGCTTTCTGAGAGCGCTCTAGGATTTATTTTATTTTATTTTTATTTTCTGCTCATTTACCAGCACAGTCATTCGATTGTGTGAAGATGGCAACAGAATTGTGCTTACTGTTAGAGAATCCTCTGAGTATTTCAAAATTCAAGTCTACAAACCTTTAAGAACCGAATTGAATTATTTTGTAGCGAGACGGGGTCGGTGAGGATACAGACAAGAATTCAGGCTCTTTTATGCAGGGGAACTGCTCTTTATTTTGCTGCTGGCACAGGAGCAAAATCAGCGGAAAATATAATTATAATTAGAGCATAACTAGGGTTACTTGGGGTACAGGGACATGTGATAGGGCGTTTAAGTGAGTACGGGTATGAAAGGGTGTAAACCTATTATAGAAATAACTATTTCTATGAGAACCCAACAGCCCACAAGAATGTGCAACCGCACCAGATGGTCAACCCGCGCTGGCCGGTAGCCCTCAGTCCCCCTGTGGCTCCTCCTCCCGTCCTGCCCTTCCTCGGCCGCAACGCCAGGCGAGGGCGCCACAATATTATGATATTTTAATGCATAACGTATCGACGTTAATGTATCAATCTATTACCTATATTCAGTATGTCCCATTACTAAATGTATATAGAAAGAGAAACACATGACAACCAAGTTTATAGAGCGGTTGAATTTTGACCTGGCCTTTTGCGCGTCAGTACCACTGCTGTGGCGTCTTGACGATCGTACAGCCCCTCTCAGTGTTTCCTGCAGAAACCCACGACTAAGATAAACACATTAAATCGACCTCAGTCATTTAGATTAATAATGTATCACGACGGGAAATGCTTTACTGCTTTACTGTTTCCCACAATCATTTCAGGTAATAATAATAATTCCTTCCACTTATACAGCGCTTTCCTGGAAACTCCACTCCAAGCACTTTACAGGTAATGGGGTCTCCCCTCCATCACCACCAGTGTGCAGCCCCACCTGGATGATGTGACAGCAGCCATAGTGCTCCAGTACTCTCACCACACATCAGCTCTCATTGGGGAGGAGAGCAGAGTGAGGAAGCCAGTTCACAGATGGGGATTATTAGGAGGCCATGATTGGTAAGTGCCAATGGGAAATTTGTCCAGGACACTGGGGTAACATCCCTACCCTACATATCACCCCTTGGTAACATGTAGAGGTTAACACAAATGTTGTACAACCTCTTCATTGTGAAAAGAAAAGGCTTTTTTTAAACTGGTTTTGCAATCAGGCTTTTTTAAAAGTAATTGTTGGATAACATTTTAGATTGTCTTAGCTGTAGTCTATCAAAAAAGCCAGATGAGCCAAATGTTCTTCACTAAACCAGTACTGCCTGTCTGAAGACATGAGGAAAGCACTTTACTTCCTGACACATACAGTACTGAAACACTTCTGGACCAACATAGAACTAGTACCTTAGGGCAGCATTTAGCACTGGAAACAAGAATGACTTCACACAGAGAGTGGTGGGTGACTGGAACAAACTATCCAACCCTGCAATTTATAAGCAGAAGTAGCACTTTTGCATCATGTGAAGTATGAGTACTATTCTTTAATACAGATGGACAACAAACAGTGTGTTAAGACCACTACACCCATCCAAAACAAAGGAAACTTTCTGTACTGTTTGTATAGAGGGAATCTCTGAATTAAAACTAATTACACACCAAATATATCATAGATTTAAAAATCTATGATGATACAGTAAATAAATTAAAGGAATAACCATTTAACAAATTGATAAATGCTACAAATTTGAATACCCTAGTCTGTACTGTTCAATAATTAAACAGATACATGTAAGAAGATAGTAATTAAAATAAAATCACTTGGCTGTTTCCCTGACATGAGTGAATTAAGGGTTACTCAGTTTCAGTGAAAAGGCCTGAGATGATGTGCAGTAGTTACCACACATGTGCAAAAGCAGAGTTAGAATGAAGTATGAAACAGAGCCCTGGAGACACAGTTCACAGTTTAGACATGTGACTTAAATTCTCCTTACAAAGAAAACTTTATCATGTCAAGTCTTGTGTAATCCAAGGAGAAGGCTGTTTATTTTATACTTCAGCCGTGATTTCACTGAATTAACATTCAAATATTAATGGTTCACACACAAAACCAACAAGCAAGAGATTAATAAAATGATATATTTCAATTGTGTCATTTTACTGATGACCCAGAGGACACAGGCGGAAACTACTGATGTGCATTTAAAACTGAGAACAGAAGACAATTCTTTACACATGTGGTGGTGGGTGTGTGGAACAAGCTAACAGTTGAAACAGATATCTCGGATTCTTTCAAAAAATGGCTGGATGAAATACTTGATTCAGTCTGCAGAGCTGTGAGTGTGGAGCTGTGGTGTTGAGTGTTCAGGGTGTAGAGTGTAGACAGGGTCACTCAGTGTGCAGGGCTGTGAGTGTGGAGCTCAGTGGTGTTGAGTGTAGACAGGGTTAATCAGTGTGCAGGGCTGTGAGTGTGGAGCTCAGTGGTGT